ATTTTGCAGCCTGGATGCTGAGCTTGTAAGCAGACATCAAATTCAGGCGGTTTCCAGAGGTACTAGTCCGTAAAGAACAAGCGGGATAACCTGCTGGGATCTCGGTTCAGTGAATGGCAAGCCATGTTTGTATCTATGATGTAGATTTCTTTTTTTTTTTTTTCTAAACAAAAAAAAAGTGACATTTTTGACTTACTGTAATTGTATTTCTGCTTTTGGCTGATATTTTCTGGCCATCCACCTGTCGGTTTGAGAGACTTGGAATACAGAACACATTTTACGTAACAGTGTGTGGTGTGTGTGTGTCTCGCCTCATTTAACCGTGTCCCGCCCAGCGTCGTTCCTCGAGGGGCTGCCGTTCTCCGACCTTTGGATGCATCCCGACCCCAGCGCACCTGAATGGCACGGCCGAGTTGCTTTCACACGCAGGTAATGAGTCCTGCTAATGATCTAATTATGTGGTGCAGATCAGTTGAGGCAGAGACTCATCTGAATGTTGCAGGACACCTGGCCCTCGAGGACTGCAGGTTGACACCTGTGTCATGAAATGCTGACACTCCTGTGATCCAGTTGCAGGTCTTTGGTCACACTCCCATCTGCATATTATGCTCTTCATCAATTCGGCTCCTTTAACAGATTTGTGCTGTAATTTCAGGTGTTTACACAATACTACTTTTCTAAATACTTAAAAAAAAAAAAAAACAGCAAATTTCCAATATGAAGTGAATGAGGCTACCTTTGGAACCCTTTTAAACATTTTGTGCTCCATACTTTAAAAAAAATATTAAACGAAGCAGGTCACAATAGTTATCACATTTAACAATAAAAAATGTCAAAATGTAGATGAATTTGATCAGTATTTTTCAATTGATCCCCAAAAGGGGAGAACTTCCTGCTATCCTCTATATAGACAACAAAAAATTTGTTTATTTCTCATTACAAGTAGTTGTACCATTTGCAGCTTATAAAATCATCAACAAATTGAAGCATTGATTTTATTATAGCTAGTTGAGGAGCATAATGCTCTGATCTCATCTTATTGTTCCTTTATTTGCTGTTGGATTTCAAACTTATATGCTGGTCAAAGCAGCTGTGGCAAATTTTCAATATTTAAATTAAATATTTAATTAAAAATGACAAAGAAAAATCGGCCAGGTTAAGCCCAATTGATGCAGGATGCTGTTTGGCCACTTGTTAATTTTATAAAATAGTTTAAAACTTGCCCACTGGTATGGAAATATTTACTTGAAGCATTTTTTTTTCTTTTACAGATTGTTCATATTAACTTCTTGATACAAATGTTTGAAATAATGCTTTTAAAGAACCGTCTATATTTTGTCCCGGTTCAGTCTGTTAAGCTTTAAGAAAGCGAAAATGAAGATTCATGGTCACAGCTGAACTATTTTTTCGCTTTATTTACATTGAGTAGATGAACAGGCTTTTCGCCACTGGTTAGATTCAGGTCAGGATGACATCCAGCATGTTTTAAAAAACATCTTTGTCCACTTGTTTGGTTAGTGCCTTTGATTCCCTGTCAGAGCTGCCTGCCCTTCTCCCCACCATATGTTTTCTTGGCTGGGAAGCGGGGAACAGAGAGGGCTTTTTATGCCCTGAGCCAAGTTCAGCCAGCCGTTCATGCTGCTGAGCGGCGCTCCAACCAGTCGTCCCTCGGCTAGCGCAGTTAGCTGCTGCTACAAGTGTCCCTCCAGCTGCAGGGCTGCCCAAGCTTTGTAGAAACACATTTCATGGTCGTGATTTTACAAAGTCTAGAGACATACTATTGGGGACTGTCTCTATCAGGATTGCTCATCTAGAAACTGAAAATTCAGTCCATGTTGCAGAACAGTTCAAGCTTAATCAGACTGAATGTAGAGTAACTATGCAAGAAATGTAATTTTTGAGTTTTGCTGCATATTTTTAGTTGAATTTAGATCTGGACTTTGACTGAACCGTTCTAAAAAATGAGATAAGCATCGTGGCACTAGCTCACGATGCTGCCACCTCCATTGTCACAATGGGAGCTGTGCATTGAGAATGACCATTTGACCAGTGCACTTTCCTCTTTAGATCTTCAGAGACCACTACATGACTTGTGTCAAACTTTAAACTTTTTTTCCAACAATGTCTTTTTTTCTTGCCACTCTTCCACAAACGATCATGTTGTCTTGTCAACAGATTCTCACTATGTCATCAACAGACATCTTAACACAATCTGTTGATCTTGATAATATTTAGGGAGGCACATGTTAAAAATGTCAGGTCTATATAGATTTTCCTTCACTCAGGTAACTTGTTTAAGTTAAAGAGGTAAGGGGGGGAAAATGTAATTGTTTTCTTTTACCCTTTTAAATCAGTTGCATTCTTCCTGTGAAGCTCTGACAGAAACGTAATACTAAAGAAATGATTTTCTACTGGCTATAGACTGTCTCACGTTAACCACCAGCACTGATAACAAATTATTCTTTGGCATTACCAGAGAAAGTGGTGGAGTCAGCTTCTCATTTTAGTTATAAAAATGATCTGAGGAAGTTCTGTCTGTGTTCTATGCATTGTGTGGCATTACGTAATACCTATCTCGAGCTGTCAATTTGCTATTTTACTTCTTCTTATTGTTTAGATTTATGCAGTCTCACAAAAACAGTGCCTGACACAATGTACTTCTCCACAGCAAAAACAAGTTGTGACACTTGCCTTAGTTGGAAACACAGGCTTGCTAAATTGCACAACAAGCACAAGTCCTAGTTTTCTTACTCATGGAAGAAAAACTCTTGCATCAGGTTTGAATCTTCGCCTTTTTAAAACATACGTATTTTTAAGTGCATTTGTCTACCCTAGTAGCTGGAGATATGCCTGAAATCCAATACCATTTTTTGCTTACAGTAGAATATGAAGCAGAACATTAGGGCTAAAAGCACATTTCCATTCAGTTTATTCTTTGCAGCATTTACATTTTGAACATATAGAGTCGCCCTGCCTGCGATCTGTGCCATATCAGCATTTCACTGCCTGCAAACCCATCAGCCACAGCTTGCTAATATGTTATGCTTTGAAGCACACAGAGGAAAGGAAGGGTGGATGTTAGGGCACTTCCTGTGTAAATGCACCTCAGATCTTCAAAATGTTGAAACAGATAAACGGTTCTTCTCTATCATGCACTGTCACAGCCTGTCCTCCCTTGGATCAACGCGACACAGGATGTGATCTCACTATTGTTCTGACAAATGTGTCCTGCAGTCGTTTTCAGTTTGAGAACAAATATTTGATTCAGACGGAAATGAAAGGACATTGAGATATGAAAAGATTTCACACATTTGAGTGAAGTGCCCACAGATAGTCCATGTGATCAGAACTGAGCAGCGACGACAACTGGATCATGTGGTGGTAATTTACAATAAGTCTGGTTAACCATGAGCTGTTTGCACAGACAGAGAGAAACCATGAAACTCAGTGAGATGATGTAATCCGTCTCTAAACCACTTCCAAAAATTACTGTCAAACCACAAAATCACATGCAGGAGAGAACAAAGTCTTCTGCTGGAAATGGGCCTCTATACACCTATGTAGATATTGCACCAAAAACCAGCCATTTTTAGCTAGAATATTCATTTACCACATTAGCAATGTATAGAGTGTATTTCTTTAAAGTTAGAACTGGTTTAGAGTTATTTTCATTGAAAAGTACAGTGCTTTTAGTGACATTTCAATGTGACCCCAAACTTTTGAACGGTGTGTATATATATATATATATATATATATATATATATATATATATATATATATATATATATATATATATATATATATATATATATATATACATAAAACATGCTTTATTGGTTTGCAACATTTCGGCAGGAAAATGACTTGTCTTTGGTTAATATTTAAATAAATTTGTCATTTGAAACACTGAAGTGTGACAAATATGAAAAAAAAATCAGGAATGGGAGCAAACAATTTTTAACACCACTGTAAATCAATAAAATCAAAGTTTACATGAAGTGTCCAAGAATTGGAATAGTTTAACTAAGAAACCTTTAATCAGGTTTCTTAGTTAACCTGAAGTTTTCAAACTTGGAAGTTTGTAAAAATTTCCTAGTTTTTACAAACTAGAAAGTGACCTAGTTTATAAAACTAGGCCACTAGTTTTATAGTGGCCTAGTTTTATAGTTTATAAACCATAAAATTAAGGTTTTATGGTTTATAAAACTACATCACTAGTATGACTAGTATGTAGAACTAGTGGCCTAGTTCATATAAGCTAGGAGTGGCCCAGTTTATACAAACTAGACCACTTGTATGCATGGTATCAGGGGTGTCAAACTCCAGTCCTCAAGGGCCGATGTCCTACATCCTTTAGATGATATTTTAGTTGAATAGAGGAATAGAACTTGGTGACTTCCTGTTCATGGAGAAACAAGTTCAGGAGGCCCAGACATTCCTCTTCATGGTAGTAATCTCCAGTTCACTCTGGAGGATCCCAAGATCTTTGCCTCCGTTTGCCAGAGGGTCTCCACTCTGATGGGATTTGTCTGGAAATCACCAAAGATAGGAACCCAGAAGGCATTCTTAATGTCTGAACTACCTCAGTTGACTTCATTGGATGTGGAGGATGAACTTTGTGAGGTCCTTCTCTGGCCCAACTTAATTTCTTTTTGTCATGAGCTACATTACTATTTAAGATCATTGAATGAGAAAAACATACTGTCCTTTGCATAAAATGTCAATTGACTTATGACAAAAAGATCATTTTTACTCCAAATTATCAAAGAAATCAATCGCAGTATCGGAAGATTTAGAAATATGTAACAAGGGATATCATAGTGCATCTATGAAGGAGAGTAAATTAATAAAATTTTGCAAGAGTTGGAAAAGTTTAACTTAAGAAGCCTTTGACTAGGAAGAAGCAAAGAAACTAGGGCACTTCCTTGTTTACCTTGTGTGTATATATACAAGTGAGGAGAACTGATGCAGCAAAGACACCTACACAGAAATAGTTCAAGATGAAGATTTCTGTGGCCACACTAACTTTCTTTTTCTTGTTTTCGCATGTGGTTGAAACCACAGCTCAGCCAGAAGAGGTCAGCGACGGCGATGATGGCATTGTTCAATCACCTGGAGGCCAAGACTGTTCCGTAGCTGAAAGCCAGAAAAACTGTTGCCAACTTTTTGTCAGCTTAAGAGAACTAGAAACCAAACTTAGAGACACTCAGAGAAAGATTGAGGTCCTGGAGTCACACGTTCAAGGTAAGAACTGCAAATTTGGAGTTTTAACTTTTGTACATTTTATCATGTGAAGATTAAATAAACTTTATAATGAACACTTGTTTTTATGCTTCTTCTTAAGGCAACAAAGTAGCATTTGGCGCATCCATAAGTGCAGGTGAAAATATTGGACCTTTTAATACCGAAACCATACTGGTCTACAAAAAGATCTACATGAACACAGGATCGTTCAACCCGGGAACAGGTAAACTTATCATAGCAATATGTTTTGCTGTGCTTATGGATTCAATTAATGCGTACAAATATTGTTGAGAGTTTGACATTTAGTTTTGTACTTGAAGAGGTTAACATAAGATTGTGTGTCACGTAAAATAGTAGGATTATGTTAAGGAGGACCTAAATGTAGATCAGGCTGAAGATACAACTTTTACAAAAGGTAAAATACATTTTAGTAGAAGAAAACCTTGTATGAAAAGAAATACATTTATAAAAGCTGGAAAAAGAGATAGAAGGTCTACAAAAAAAATCAAGTTACTATGCTAAAAACAGAGGAAGAAAAGAAATCTGAAAATTTTATGAAGAAGAACAATTTTCTGACAGAGGCCACTGTTATTTCTTTTCAAAAGCTACATAGAGTTGAAAAAGGGAAAAAGATCAACAGTTACTATGCTACATTAAAGCTGATCACATTCACAACATAAGGTTTTTTTTAAAAAATCAAATTAAAAGTAAAAATGTTGAGGCATTTTTACTATGAACTTTCAGAATAATATATGATATTATGTCATCATTAAGGCATAAAACTTAAATGTTTCTTTCATTGCATATGTGTTGACATAAATGACGTACACCACCAATTGAAAAATGCATTATCAAGTGCTCTCTAGTTAGGTTACTTGTTGATAAAAGAGTAACGAGAGAAAGCTTTTCAGTTTCAGTTAGACCATTTCATGACTTCTGCTTAAATACATACAGTTTTTTTTATGGGGTTCAGAGATTTTAAGTCAAAAGATCACAAAAGATCACCATAAACATTACTTTGATCATCCACAGGTATTTTTACAGCTCCTGTCAGAGGAGTCTATTACTTCAGCTTCTCTGGACATAATATATCAACTCGATCAATGGGCCTGGGACTGATGAAGAACGGACAGCAGATGGTCAGTGTCTACAACCATGCTGCTGGAAATCGTTATGAGACAGCAACCAATGGGATGACTCTGCAGCTTGAAGTTGGAGATCAGGTTTACATGAGACTGAGGCAAAACACCTGGATTTATGACAATTCAAATGATCATAGTACCTTCATTGGTCATTTATTATTTCCTCTGTAAGGGCTGTGAACGATTAACATCTTTTATTAAAACTAAAAGGGCAAAAGTGAATTAGAGTTCGTTTTCAGTAATGTTTAGTAAAAATACTTCTTGTTAGAGGCATATTTTAGAACAAAATTAGAATCAATTTATATTGTGTCTTAAATGTGACAAACTATTCAAAACACCTGGATTTCAATAATGGATGTGATCATAGCAACTTTATTGGCCATTTATTATTCCCTCTGTAAAGGTTGTGAACAATTATCACATTTTTATAATAACTCAAAATGCTCAAGGTAAAGACAAAAAAAAAAATGATGATTTCAGTTGTAATGCTTAAATTTTATCTGGAGGCAGATTTTAGAGAAAACTTAATCTGTGTATGTTTTAAATGTGAGATAAAATGTGATATATGCATGTTTGAGTCAATTCAGAATCATCCTTGACCTATTAAATTATTGGTAATAATTAAATGTTTAGCTTTCAAATTAAATACTCAAAGTCTTTTAAAAAAACCCTGTCTAATTTTGGGAGGAAATCTATTTGATGCTTTTATTCTGATTGTTTTGAATGAAACAAACAGAATATTTCTTCATTTTCTTTTGAAGAAATAAAAAATAAAAAGTATTTGAAACATTTGAATGACTAATAATTCCGAATTACAAAAGAGCCATACCAGTAAAATTGGAAAATGCATATTAATCAGAGTTGCTCACTCAGCCATGTTCATTAGTATTTCAGCACAGAACCAAACAAATACTGAAGCAGATAGCATGTAACAAGTAGAAAGAAGTGGGCCAAAAGTTGGACAAATGGAGTGATAGCTCAATAAATAGAAAGATTCAATGTTTATAACCTAAGTTTCCATTTTCTGGCGTGAATCATACATGGTAATTGGGGACAAGAAGAAGAATAAACACAGACAGTTTATTCTTTTCACCTGTGCATTGCACTTGATTCCTTAGATTTGTTTTTTTTCTGCTCTTGTTAGGTTCAGGTTTTTCCCTTTATTTAACCTTATGAGCTCCCTTACTTCTGCTCTGTTCATCTTTTACCTTCTCTCTGTGTCTGTCAGCCCTCCACTTCTCAGCTGTTTTACATCTACTAATTTACCCCTGCATGCACTCTTCCTCAGCTGTTCTCTCTTCTCCCCAAATGAGTTCATCTGGTTCCGAGTCATAAGTCCCTCCAGACTAAAAGTCACATTCATTTAGAAACTGTCAAACATGAGGGGGACCTCGTCCATGTTGATGATATGGTCCGGTGACACTTTGTGTTTTGTGACTTTTCAAGAAACTCACAGACACTTTTAACTTTGGCTTGAAAATCTGCTGGCAGTTTCTGATGCACCGATGACTTTGTCCTAAATCAGAACGGTTGTACACACTCACCATCTTCATTTGAAATAAGATTGGCTGAACATACAAATATTCATTTATTCTTTTTTATTCTTATTTTATTAAGTTTAGGTTTTGCAGCTCTGAAACAAAAATTGAGTATGAATTAAGGCAAAAGTCACTGTGGATTGGAGAGTTTGCTGACCCCCTTGACTTGGGAACTGTTTAAATATTATTCATCAACCAGATTTATTCTCTGAAATGGTCAACCTCATGAATGCTACAAAGGGAAAAGATAAATCATTGCAAATTAGGAAATTTGTCAGACAATAAAAACAGTCTTTTCGAGGTTTTATCCATTTATTTTGTGGTTGCTCTGCAAAAAGCTGACAGATAAGACAATATGTGCATTTGATTATTTTGTCACAAATACTAAAACATGACAAGTATATCCATTCGTAAGAAAGTTAAAATTACATCGAGGGATTTGTATTTTCCTGTTGTTTTTCCCCTTGCATTTCGGCCTGCAGACGAATGTGGATGAATCACTCTGGTCTTAGAGAGAGCAGTGAAGAAAAGACCTCACATTTCAGAATAGAATAAACGCTCTGCCTCCGCACTGATCGCTGAGTAGGAGGAAACACAGACAGACACTGAGGTGTTCTCAGCTCCCCCTACATGCATCAACATCTCGTCTATATTTTCAGTCTCTGGACTTGTAGACTTAGACCTTTCAATGAATGACGGCTACAGCTGAAAAGTTTATTATTATTATTTTTTTTTTATGTCAGGGCTTATATTAAAACAACAGTTATCATTTGCTGTCAGAAGGTATTTGACCCTTGAAGACTGCAGCCTTTTCTTTTCATTTTGGACCTTATCTCTCTTCTTTGTCCACAAGAGGGCAGGCTTATGCAGCTAAGAGTCAACAAGGGTTGTAGATATGAGACAAATTTAGATTCTTGATCTTTTTTTTTTTTTGACAAACTGTAATATATTACTCTAAAATTGACAACTGAAGCAATTTCAATTTCTTACTTGTGTTCAGCTTAAACAAACCAAATATTTTTATTTTTCCTTTTGTGTTTAACATTATCATTAAAAAATAAAATCTAAATCATGTAATTTGTAATACATTTTGTGAAATATGTCTGAACTTACAAAGTGATAAAACTGATTCCTTTAATGATAAAGGGAAAAAAAAACACAGATACTGTGCGAAGAACAGTTTAAAATTTGTATTATTGTAGTTTCCCAATCGGAAGACAAACCAATTCTGTCATCTTATGATTGTGAGAAATTGCCTAGACTAAAATTAGGTGAGTTGCACACCTTAATTAATCGAACACACAAAGTTTTTTAACCTGGCAATTACAAAACAGACCACCAGCTACACCTTAAAACTAATACAGTTAATCCTACATCAGTATAAACTGCATGATTGCTGACACTTTCGTGTGCAGGACTCATAAAGATACGATTGTTTGCTCTGTAAGTTTAAAAACCAATGTATCCACAACTACTTGAACAGATGGTTCATTCAATTATTTTTCACTTTTGCCAGTAGAGGCTGTCTTTCATACATTACGGTAAGACAAAACAGACACGAGACTGTTAGGTCCTGAGAACTGATACCCTTATAATTCTTGTCATAACACCAAATAAGTAGCAAAAAATAATGCCACATAATATAATTCTACAATAAACGCTAAAAGAACTAGCTCTGTACCAAGTTGAGAAGATTCAACAGTGGCCAAGTAAAGGTGGTATTAACATATGCAAACCAACGTCTTGTTGCAGTAGAAGAATGTGAAGAGGAAATAAAGTCTCAAATTATGGGAACAACATACTAACCTGGATTCCATTGCTGCTTCTTGAGCTGAAAACAAAGCATCATCAGATTACACAGGGAGAAACCTGTGCTAAAAATACATTATGCAGACATGAAGTTGAAAAGTTGGCCTGTCCTGTTATTCCTGTCTGTGATCACAACAGATAAATGGAACAAGTCTATTAAAATGTTGTCACCTTGTGACATTAATTATCTGGAGTGCAGAGGGTAAAGCCCATAACCCTAATCCTAGCCATAAAAGATTTAATCATGGAGAGCACTAATCAGAGGCCCATGGTGACTCTGGAGACTCTGCAGAGATCCACAGCTCAGGTGGGGGAATCTGAGCCTATTAGTGCGTTGCGTAAGTGTAGTCCTTATAGAGACTTGGCAAAAGCAAAGCTTTTCCACCAAAATGCAAAGTGCTATGTATGGTGGAGAACTAACACTGCACATCATCATGCCCTCTCCTAAATATGGTGGTGGCAGCATTATGCTCTGAGGATGCTTCTCTTCAGCAGGGACAGGGAAGCTGGTCAGAGTTGGTGGGAAGGTGGATGGAGCCAAATACGGGAAAATCTTGGAAGAAAACTTTCTGGAGTCTGACAGTGACTTGAGACTGTGGCAGAGGATCACCTTCCAGCAGGACAATGACCCAAAACATAAAGCCAAGGCTACACTGCAATGGTTTAAAACAAAACATATTCATGGGTTTGAAAGTTCAGACCTGAGTAAAAAAATAATAATTATGTAAATCTATGAGAAGAAGTAGTGTACAGAGATAATTTGACAAGGTTCAAAAGTAACAGGATGGTGTTACGGAACAGATGGAAGCCAGAATCTTGTTGCATTAGAAGAATGTGAAGAGGAAATAAAGTCTCAATTTATGGAAATAACCCACTGAACTGATTGTCGTAACTGATGTTTGAGCACCAGGAAGACACACCCCTGCCTGAACGCTAAGAGATGAAATATGCTGCAGCAGGTTTGCTAGACTAGATTATTGACAGGACAGCAGGTTTTATGCAAAGCAGCTGAAGAAATAGACATGTTATTTTTGTGTTTTCGTTTCAATTTGCATTTGCTTTATGATTATACCTTTGTTTCATGAATTCTTCTGCATGTTTGCTGTTTTCTGAACCTACTATCAAAAAGATGAACTTTTTCTAACAACTGATGTGGTAATAAATCTAATCCTGACTGTAATGATTAGTATTTAGCAACAAAAACACCTTAACAAAAAATCAAACATGATTCTGTGGATGATCCTTTCTTTCCTGTCTTTCAAAGCTTTTGGTGATTGAATCTTTAAATTAATACATCAATTTGTCCGTTACTTTGTTACACTGTCAGAACTATCTGCTTCAGTATTGCTTTTCTAAAGTAACATTATGATTATGGCTGACCTCAATAAGACTGAGCAACTCTGATTAATTTACATATCATCAGTTCATATTATTTGTGTGCTTCCTTATTTTTTTTTCCATTTTTCTTTAATTGTGTTGTTGACTTAATAAATCAAATCAAATTGTATTTGTATATCATAATGTAATAATTAAACAAAAATAATATTGATCAAACTGACAGAGGCTTTTTATGTTTCTGAATCATTTGTCACCCATGCTGTGCAAATGTTTTTTTCTTGAGTTTTTCATGTTTTGAAGACTTTTTTAATAGCTTTTGGGCAATTTAGAAAATTATGTTTTCACATCCTTGTTTAAAACTGAATAAAAACCTTAGAGGAGCTTCACCACAAACTGATTTTGAAAGAATGAAACAAGTTCGTGCAATGAAAAAAATAGTGTTTTATTAGGATTTTAATTGGTCAAATATGAATATGATTGTAGATTTGTTTTAATTACATATATCAGAACACCACATTTGAGATATACCTCACAAAGCTTCTAATTTTATCCTGATTTCTGTCCCCACCAGTAAGTATTACCACTAAAAATGATCACTGAAATAAAATCTATTACATGTGCAAGTTAGCTTTATTCTTTTTGCAGGAACCTTACAAAGGAAATAATAAATGACCAATGAAAGTACTATGATCATTTAAATTGTCAAAAATCCAGGTGTTTTGTATCAGTCTCATGTAAACCTGATCTCCAACTTCAAGCTGCAGAGTCATCCCATTGGTTGCCGTCTCATAACGATTTCCAGCAGCATGGTTGTAGACAGTGACCATCTGCTGTCCATTCTTCATCAGTTGCAGGCCCATTGATTGAGTTGATATATTATGTCCAGAGAAGCTGAAGTAATAGACTCCTTTGACAGGAGCTGTAAAAATACCTGTGAATGATCAAAGTGAAGTTTATGGTGATCTTTGTCAGTTTTTGGCTAATCAAGAAGTTTTAATGGTCTTATTTTCAATAAGACAAAATGGTGAGGTTTAAAACATTGTTAATGCGATTTTGGCTTTCAGTGTTAAAATACTGGGCCGTGCAATGTACCAGAACCCAGACTATGCAGTAAGATGTATGACCAACCTCATAAAAAAAAACTTTTCAGTTAACTTTATAATGTAATGATGATATAATATTGGATACTATTTTAAAAGATTTAGTTAAAATTGTTCTTATGTTTTCATCTTTTTGTATTGTAAATGCAATCATAATCCTTAATCTGTTTAAAGATTATGAAACCACATGTAACTTTCCACATACCACACACAGATTCTATTTTGTTAGTATGTTATACTAACATTTTAGTATGCATTGCTAAAATTGTTAATAATTTTAGTGTAGCATACTTTCTTAACCGCTTCAGTTTTTCCCTGTCCATTTGTTTTTATTTTTTTTCCATTTTGAATCTCCTGCAACTCAAATGTAATTTATTGTTTTTATTTTAGGTTCTACCTAACATAATTACACTAATGTACATGAAAAGCAATAATTTATTTTACCTCTTCAAGTACAGCAAAATAATTCAAACTCTCAGTATTTGTAAATACTAATTTAAATGATAAGCATAATCAAATATATCACTGTGAGAGGTTTACCTGTTCCTGGGTTGAATGATCCTGTATTGAAGAAAACTTTTTTGTAGACCAGTATGATGTGGGTATTAAAAGGTCCAATATTTCCGCCTGTACTTATCGATGCTCCAAATGCTATCTTGTTGCCTTAGGAAACATGAAAATAAATGTTCATTATAATGTTAATTTATTGGCTATCTAGTAAAAATTCTGAAAGAAGAAACTCCAAATCTGCTGCTCTTACCTTGAACTTGTGACTTCAGGGCCTCCATCTCTGTCTGGGTGTCTTTAAGTTTGGTTTCTAGCTCTCTTAGGATGACAAAAAGTTGTTCAATGGTTTTCTGGCCGTGGTCTTTGTCACCAAATGACTGAATGGTGTCATTATCCCTGTCTCCTGTTGGCTGAGCTGTGATTTCAGCCACACATGCATAGAGGAAAAAGAAAGTAAAGGTCGCCACAGAAATCTTCATCTTGAACTGTTCCTGCTTGCAGGTGTCTCTACTGTGTAGCTCTGCTGACAATTGCATTTATACAATTCAAACAAGGAAGTGGCCCATGTTTTTTTTTTTTTTTTTTTTAAACATTCTTAATAAAATCTTTATTCAGAACAAGAAACAATCTAAAAAAAAAAAAAAGAAAAACGCCAAGACACAGTCCAACACATAGAAACAGCCATGTCTCCTAATGATTCCAATAACATCTACATAATATAGCAAATTAAAAAAAATGTGTGCACAGAAGGTATAAACAGATGGAGTTCCTGTTTAAAAATAAACTATATCAGCTTAGATTTGCCAGTGCCTTAAAAAAAGTAAAAATAATTCTAATATTATACTCAACTGTTTTACTTTCAGATACATATCCATATAAAACAATTTGAAGAGTTTTTGTTCATAGACTTTATGGTTAGGAATCTATGAAGAGATTCCCATAAGATACACTGCCTGGCCAAAAAAAAGTCGCCACCTGGATTTAACTAAGCAAATAAGTACAAGCCTCCTATTGGATAATTACTGCATAGGCGATTATCTTTCAGCTGGCAACAAGTTATTTAACCCCAGCTGATGCAATGAGTAACTCCTCATTTCTTAAACAACCATGGCAAAAGACACATCCTGTGGTCGTGGAAAAGACGTTAGTCTGTTCAAGAAGGGTCAAATCATTGGCATGCATCAAGCAGAGAAAACATCTAAGGAGATTGTATAAACTACTAGAATTGGGTTAAGAACTGTCCAATGCATCATTAAAAACTGGAAGGATGGTGGGGAACCATCGTCTTCCAGGAAGAAATGTGGTCGGAAAAAAATCCTGAATGCTCGTTGTCGGCGATTACTTAAACGTTTGGTCAAATCAAATCAAAGAAAAACAACAGCAGAACTCAGGAGTATGTTTAATTGTGAACGCAAAAGCATTTCCACACGCACAATGCGAAGGGAACTCAAGGGGTTGTGTTTGAACAGCTGTGTAGCTGTAAGAAAACCTCTAATCAGTAAGGCTAACCAGAAAAAAAGGCTTCAATTTGCTAGGGAGCATAAAGATTGGACTCTGGAGGAATGGAAGAGGGTCATGTGGTCTGATGAGTTCAGATTTACCCTGTTCCAGAGTGATGGGCGCATCAGGGTAAGAAGACAGGCAGGTGAAGTGATGCACCCATCATGCCTAGTTCCTATTGTACAAGCCTGGGGGGGGCAGTGCTATGATCTGGGATTGCTGCAGTTGGTCAGGTCTAGGTTCAGCAACATTGTGTGCCCAAAGAATGAGGTCAGCTGACTACCTTAATATACTGAATGACCAGGTTATTCCATCAATGGATTTTTTCTTCCCAAATGGAACGGGCATATTCCAAGATGACAATGCCAGGATTCATCGGGCTCAAATTGTGAAAGAGTGGTTCAGGGAGCATGAGACATCTTTTTTACACATGGATTGGCCACCACAGAGTCCAGACCTTAACCCCATTGAGAATCTTTGGGATGTGCTGGAGAGGGCTTTGCGCAGTGGTCAGACTCTCCCATCATCAATGCAAGATCTTGGTGAAAAATTAATGTAACACTGGATGGAAATAAATCTTGTGACACTGCAGAAGATTATTGAAACAATGCCACAGCGAACGCGGGTTGTAATCAAAGCTAAAGGCAGTCCAACAAAATATTAGAGTGTGACCATTTTTTGGTGGCAACTTTTTTTTTGGGCCAGGCAGTGCATCTGATAAAAACAGATGTTTGTTTTTTCAGGTTCATATAGCAATCAACACAATCAGTTTTAAATCTGTGTCTTATAAACTACTTTGAAAAAATTATATAATGTAGTGGTGTGAAATTAATTTCTTTACATTTTGGAGGGAGAGAAAATCCCAGATATTTTTTCATTTTATTTGATTTTTCTTTTCATAATTCTTCATAAATGTCCTTCCTGATCAAACCAGATTGTTTAAGCTAAATCTTTAAAAAGTTATTGCTACAATTTTTGTGCAGTAAATCTAATTCATTGTAATTCAATGTAATTTAGCTCTTGATTTAGTTTAATAAATGTTATTTTTAAGATGAACAAATGCATTTGCTGTCTTTTTTGTTATTTTGTTACAGTCACTTTTTGCACAATTTATATTATATTTCTTAATAAAATGTATTTATATTTATACAAATTGCTATTATCAGCCATTAAATGAGTGACGGCCAGGAAGGTGAGAGTAAACCAAATCTCATGTTTACTTTCAAGAACAGATTGGAGACATTTTTAATTTTAAACCCCCATTATTTCAAAATCTATTGCTTTCATTTTTCTATCTTTGTTATTTTTAACTGCTTCTTCTGTTTTGATATAGAGATGTTAATTTGTAGAGATAAGGTTAAACTTTATTGAGTTCCTCAAAAACATTTGGAGGATTTGATAAGAATGTGGTAAATAAACTTTGATAAGGTCCCCACTGAGTAGAGAGTTGAGTAAAACTACTGGATTTAAAAACATGGATTGCTTTCATTCTGCATACACTTAAGGTTATAATGATAAACATTTCTCACAGACTACTGCACAGTCCACGGCAATGAAAAGTGTCGCTATTTTTGTCCATAGTCCGTCCATCCATCCATCCATCCATTTTCTAACACCACTGTCCCTAATGGGGTCAGAAGGGCCGCTGTGCCTATCTCCAGCGAACGTTTCGGGCGAGAGGACAGGTCGCCAGTCTGTCGTCTGTCGTGATCGGGTCAAACGCCAGCGCAGTCTTGTGATGTAATGAGGATAAGTCAAAATGTAAATGCAGTTTTGGAGGAAGACGTCATGGAGCGATAGCCATCATCCGACGGTGGTTCTGATGAAGGATTGCAACCCTGTTTTGTTGAGCCATACAGTTCAGAAAGCAGTAATGAATTCAACATTTCTGGGGAAAAAGGGTTAGACAATGAAGTGTTGGAGGTGGATAATCATCACCTCCACATGAATGAATGGAGGTGTAGTTGTTATAACATAAACAGATCTATACTAAAATAACCAGGTCTGAGCCTGAAACTATTTTTATCTATCAGACGTTTTACAGAACTTAAATAAACAAAATATTGTTTAAGTCAAAGTGTTACAGAGAAAGTCAGCTATCAAGTGTAATTATGCTCAACATTGAAGGATATTTTTATTTTTTCTTGCATTTCTGCCTGCAGTCAAGTGCGGATGAATCACTCTGGTCTTGGAGAGAGCAGTGAAGAAAAGGCTTCACATTTCAGGGACCAGAATAGAATAAACGCTCTGCCTCCGCACTGATCGCTGAGTAGGAGGACAGAGACAGACACTGAGATTCTCTCAAATTCCCCTAAATTCATCGACACTTCATCTCCATTTCCACAGCCTGAACTTCACCTGTGAGTCACTGACAGTGGCAGCAAGGCCTTATCACTGAGTTACTAAACTTTAATATTCATAATTGTTTGGGAGGATGTATTTGTATTTGAGCGTTTCATGTATGAATGTAGGTTTGGTTTAGAATAATTAAGATTTACATTGCTTGATTTTCAGATATTGAAACTCTGATTATTTTGCTTGCTTTTCCTTCTCTGCCCACAAGAGGGCAGGCATGTGCATCCGAGGCTCAGTAAAGATTAAAGTTCCCATCTGCGTATCTGTTCCAGGAGGTTTTTCCTGGAGCCAATATCACCGCTGCTGCCTTTCCATTGCATTTACAGGAGCAAAACAAAATAATCAGGTGGAATGGCCCAATTTTTAAAGTAGTGTGTTTACATTATCAGGAACTTTTGGATGGAGATTTAGTGAGTGAGAGGTATAATTTCAACATTTGAATTAAGTTATTCACAAGAAGAAACTGTATAAATAAAAAAAATATTTCTGGTATCAGAAATGCCCCTTTTGCTTGTTAACTGTCTCAGACTTTGGCTTAATCTGTTTATGTATTTCCTCATGTTTTCCCACTAATAAAAATCGGCATTTAAATGAATTTTGTTTAAACTGAGCATTTACTAAAATTGGGGAAAAATTCACCAGTCAACAATACAAGGTAAAAAAAATATTTTGGGCAATGTTTTTTTGTTTCTTTTCCTAAGCAAAAATGAAGGTACTCTTAAGAACCCGTTGTGCTGTTATTTTTGAAAATCTGGTTTTAAGGCCTACCACAATGCATTTAAAAGCGTTTTTTTAAGAATTTGTGCAGAAAATGAACATAGAGAGGCTCACACTCTCGTCCTGCAATGACAGTTGAAAGCATCATTCTTTTTCTGATTGAAATATTGTAGTTCTCATACCGTTACGACCATCATAATTAATAAATTATTCCTTTGATGGTTTTTCTGACTGCAGTTGAGAATAAAAGAATCAGACAAAACTGTGCATTACCAGAAAACGCAAAATGCTAATCCATTTGTTCTGTTATTATGTTTTTTTGCTAGAAAGCGAAGCTCTTTGTATCCATTACTGTGTGCATTTGATTTTCAGCCAGCTTGACTTTCTTCCTGCAGAAGTCACACTGTGTGGGTGAATCCCTCTAGTCTTAGAGGAAAGGGTAAAGAAAAGACCTCTCATATCCAGGCACTGAAATAGCTCTGATTCAGTCTCTCACACAGCACAATGAGTGGGAGGGAACAGTGGATACAGCGGTGCTCGCTGCTCCCACACATTTACCAGCATCATCTTTTTTTTTTTTTTTTTTTTAGCACGTGTTCAAATTGTCAGGATCTGAAATACCTGCACCAGTTTGACTGGTTTGTGTGTATGTGTGCAATTCCGGAAAGCTTTAGATTTATTTCTTTGATTATAATTTGTAATGTAATGCTTATAACATTTTGTGTCTTTAGACTTGTAGCTGTGGAAGCCATTGTTTTTCCAATAAATGGCATATTCTCTCTCTCTGCCCACAAGGGGGCAGCCAGATACAACAAATAAATAGTTGGTATCCTGTTCTACAGTGTTGGGAAAAAAAGATAATTCACCTTTTTTAACTGGAGTATTAATGTGAAATAACATGTTATTTTCTTTACAGAGTTCTAAAGGTATGTCTTACCTT